CTCTCCAAAGGTGCGACAAGTTGAATTGACTTTCGCGCAGTTCAAAGAAGCGGTTCTTTCTGCTCCAGATCTGGAGAAGTTGCTTTTCACTCGTTTTTTCCTGATTTTCCTGTAAATTGGTGAATTTTTTGAGTGGATGCTTATTTTCCTGACGTGTGCAGAATTAGGCGATTTTCAGAAACGAGGACTATCAGCGTGTTAAATTGCTTGATTTGCGTCGACAGTTCGGGTTAAAGAACAATTTGATCAGTTTGTACCGTGATGGAAAACGCTTCTTCCACTGATGACCACAAGGCGGTATGTTTCAGTAGATGATCCGGGCCTCGCCGATTTCGACATAAGCAACTTTTTACTGTGTTAAAGATTTTGGTCTTGTTGATAGCTGAGTATATCCGTTCTTGAGGGATCGGCCAGTTAGGGCGTGCTGTACGATGCTAAGCCAATTAGTTTAACAGTTTGACATTTTGTGCTTTAGTCTTTCAATAAAAAGGTGGGCGATTTCTGTGGATTAGCCGCAGGCGGTTTTCTTGTGATAAAGGAGGCCTTTTTCAAACTTCGTTAATTTGTTCAAATACGAGCAATGTAATCCTCAGGCGAAATCACACGGAGTTGTTTGTATTGCGTGATCGGTTTATAAAATGATCGGTTTATAAGGGTGTAGCGATATAATCGAATGTCCTGGTTTAAAGCTGGACGGCATAGACCATCACATATTCCCGGTATAAATTAGGTGCGAAATGTATCACCAGTTTGTCTCCCACATGATGGCGAAAATTTTATGATGAGATGTGTGATCCGTTGGCTGAGGGGACAACAACTCATGCAAGCCCACAGCGATTACGAAGATATTACTGAACGATCAGCTTGGGATATATTAACTTACAAGCAAACTAGTGTATTTTCTGCTTACCTTTCTCCGTCAGATGTGAGTGACCTATAAAATATACTACCGACTACGACCCTGCTGAGGAGCCTAATAAATCCTTGTTTTTGGTTCTGTGCCTTACAGAGAATCTCTGCTAATTTCTTTTTTTTTTTGATATTTTTACAAATTTAAGCGGTTTTTGGGGATAAACAGCATGATCACTGCAAAAGCGAAGAACTCAGAGAAATTTTTTTGTGAAGGTAGTCTTTAAACGACACAGCCTCTCACGGACATTGAATGTAGCTCTGCTTCTGTGTGGTTACGTAAAATAGCCGAAAATCCTCTCTGTATTCATCGTGAGAGGCAGAATCCGCTGACAGGGCTCTCACTAATTCCTTCTTCTGTGGGTGAATCAAAAGCTAGCTCATGGCTGTTTTGTGTTTTTGGCATACTCCAGCACAATTTGTTATCGAAACAAACGGAAGATTATTGAGGGATTGGTTGTCCCAGTGGCGGAAGCGACTCTTGACTCTAACCACGAGAACAGTGATACTTATGCTCATCAATCTCTGTGCCCGCACGTCTGTGTTCGTCAAAGGAACATTGCTGTACCAGTTGCTGTGTGCCGGGATTTTTTTAAAGTAGAGAAAATCACTACATTTTTACAGCGATTTTATTTTTTATTTGTTGTTTTTGAGGATCTTCCTGCCATAAACAGTATGGCTCAAAATTCGATGTTCACTGTGCCTGAAGGAAGGTTTTTCTAGGAAGTGTCTTCAAGCAATCGAAATGTCCTTTCATTACACTGTGTGCAATGCAGCTGCTCTATATTGTCGCCTAATGTCGCAGCATTTGTAGCTGAAAAACCGTTCGAACTTCCGCTCTGTCGGCAGCCAAAAAACTTCACTTTCGTGAACACCGAAGTTATTAACCAGTGGTGCGGTTTTCATGAAGTTTTACCGAAATCAAATTGTGACAGAAAGATTTGAAATTCATAAAGCATCAGCGGTTCAGTGGGCACAAAAATCTTTTATCACGCATCCACACTGTTTCCGAGTATTATATTATCGGAATTTGACCCCTGCATAAAAACATGCTCCTTCAGTTACACAGAAGCTTGGGACGGATGCCGTGGTTTTTGGTGAGGGAAGGAACTGATGAGAATTGTCAGAATTGTGCATGAGAATGGGCACAGCCTGCTTGATTTATTAGCACATTTTCTGTTGCAGTTCGCGTACCAGTTTAGTATGTGAGTGGAAGGGTAGTTCTTTGTAATGCAAACTTTTGAGAAATTTTTTATAAATTGAGTTGGAAAAAGTGGTTGTAATGTTAGCAATGATTAGGTTAAGAATTTACAGTTTTCATTCTGATACTGTCTGCAAAGAAGGCGCCAACGGAATGAGAAAGTGAGCTTGAAAAATCAGCGTATTAAAAAAGAAATGCATTGCATGGCAGTGGTGTGCACCACGCTAACTTGCGAATAAGAAGCATGTTTGTGGAAGGGGCGACATAGCGATGATGTCGATTTGCATTACTGTTTCTGACCGAAAATTATAGCTTGAAAGATTGCTGAGTGGTGCAAGCAGCTGAACAGCATCGCCAGGGTACGCAAAATATTACCACTTGGCTCTCAGTCAGGATTGCTGACATTCTTATGCGCAGCTCGGTTCACTTACAGAAACGGAGAAAGGGCGCTTCGCAGCAAGAATTATCGGGCGTTGGATTCTAGGAGTATTTGTCGATAACATCTTTAGCGAAACACCTCTTCAAATAACTAATTAACATGCCATCGTTTTGATTCGGCGAGAAGCTAAAATCTATCGAGTGCTGTATGCATATTTTGCAACGAACTAACGGATGTCATACATCGATTGATTTGACTGTCCAGGCAAGAAGCATGCGGTCAAACCGCTTGCCGAAGAGGTAAGCGGCAAGCTTAGTGGATGGGCAGGTAGAAAGCGCAGTTGAGGAAACCATGACTTGTGAGTCTAACTGTGCTTGGTGTGTGATTCGATCTCCGATGCTCGTGTACTAATAACTGATGCGGCCATGATAATAAGACGTGTAGCTGTATTACATTCATTTTTAAGATTCTTTGTATTTTACAGGTGGTACGTCGAGAAGATGTTTGATTTCGAGAACATCGGTTTCACGCATGCCAGCAACGGCATCAAGTATTTGGTATGTGCGAACTGCGAGGAAGGTCCTGTTGGTTATGTGTGCCCAACAACCAAAGCTCATTTTGTTGCTGTATGTCGCGTTAGGCAGGAATAGATGCTGCCCTACATTTGGCTAATGGCTATTATGACTGTATGCTGCAAAATTTTGCTAGCGATTTTTTGAATCTACGCTTCACGTAACTGTTTCGTTGTTGTGTTTTCGTTTTAATTGTACTCCACGTATTTTCACCGTGATCGAGCTGCCCTTGACATGTTAACGTGATCAGTCGGTAGCCGTTCAAATTTTGTTTTTTTTTTTTTTGTCGACGAGTGACTGCTAGCAAAGCAGCAGATCTGATACTTCGGCGTTTGTGTCCCATCGAAAACTTTTTAAATTGAAATTCGTTCTTTGCTTTAACATTGTTCATTGAACTAACAGTTACCGCATCGTGTCTGTTACTGCTGCCACTCATGTAGTGTTGCGTCACGTTCAGTGCAAACATTTCACTTGGGGTGGTTTTTTGTTTGTCGGAATTGATCATAGTCATCAGTCTTGGGAAGAATATGTGCAAATAGAATAATGTTTCTTTAAAAGGAACGCTTTTTCTATTTCCCTTCTTTGCATTTTCCTATGTTCCATGCTACAGTTATTTTTAAAGTTGAGATTTGAAGGATTCTCAGTCCTCGTTTGTTCTCTGTTTGCGAAATGGTACGTAACAACATATGTTAGTATGTTTCCATGCGTTCACTTCGGTAAATAAATCTGGAAGTTCCGTTGGTGTTTTTTTCTTTTCAGATTTGGTCTATTCTCACAGTTTTATTTGCACTGTTTGTTAGCTTTTTTTTTGGTCTTGTTACTGTCTTCATTTATGATTATTTAGAGCCGAAGGAAACGTACTTTTATTGATAGAGGAATTTTTCATGGCGACCGAACGTGGGGTCCCTAATGTAATTTCTTTTTGTTATCGTTTTGAAAGTTTTTTACACTTTTTTGTTATCTTTTTCCCGTACTTATGCAGTAGATTTGGAAACTGTTTGCTTGCTTGCTTTGGCCTGTAAAATGGGCTAATTCTTTTGCTGAATATTTTTTCAATCAGTTAATGCGTCCCACATTGAGTTGATTCATTGCAGGTTGTAAGCTCAAGTGTTGAAGAGCCACTGGATTTGGTGCGATTGAGCTTAGATGAACGAATTTACATAAAAATGCGCAACGACCGTGAGGTTTGTTTATTCCTATTGTGTTAAGAACACTGTGACTGCCATGTTGGCGCTTCGAAAATGATGCCGAATTTTGATTTTTAGTTGATGCGGTTTGTGCTAACATATAGAAATTGTAGACGATGTGATGATTTTCCGTGATTAAGTATAAACAGGCAACAACGGTTTGAGAAAGAATCATGGTTCGCATCAGTGATACTACGGCCTTAGCAGCAAAGATTAAAAAAAAAAAATAAAGATGCGAAATGTAGTATCTCTTCTTTCTGTCAGTTAAAAATGACCTGGAAAGC